GGTGGGGGCGGGAGCCGCAGCAGGCGGGCCGAGGGGGCGAGCTGCAAATGCATGTGGGGGGGGGCAGGATCGCTCGAGGGGAAGGGGGCCTGTGCCAGGCTGCGAAAGGAGCTCCAAAGAGACCACGGGGGCGGCAGAGGGCGAGCTGCACTTTCCCGTTGTCCCGGGCTGTTCCCTGCACCTGTTCCCCCCCCCCCCCGCTTCCTTCTCTTTCTGTCTGGGGGGCTGCAAAGAGGGGAGTCTCTTGCCAGGGATGGAGCAAGAAGTCGGCAAGGGAGGCTTCCTGTGCCCGGTGAGGAGGGGACGAGGCCGGCCCTAGGCGACAGTCTAAAATTTAACAATAACAGGCCGGCCCTGATTCCATTACCAGCTCAGCAATGAGCTTTACACTATAATTCAAAACAGGGCTTGAAACTGAGCCCAAGGTTCCAGGTGTATGTACACCTGTCAACTTGCCCTCATCCGGGAAGGTAAGCAGGATCAGCCCTGGTTAGTCTTTGGATGGGAGACGACTAAGGAAGCCCAGAGGCAGGCCATGGCCAACCATCTCTGCTCATCTCTTGCCTTGAAAACCCTATGAGGGGTCACCATACGTTGACTGAGACTTGATGGCACTTTCCACTGCCTAACTTGTAAAAGAGTACACTGTGTATAAACCAGAGGATGTGAAGAATGAAGCCATGGAAATGTATTTATTTTGTTATTTATGTCTTTTTTAGCCCTTCCTCCCCCGCAAGCAGGCTCTGGGCGGGTTACAACAACATATAAACAACATAATGCAACCAATTAAAACATAATAAACAGTTTAAAATACTGTGGTATACACACCGGTAAACTCCCAAGACTCAAGGCCTTTTTTTAAAAAAAATTGTTTGGAGCCAGAGTTGGTTATCTTGGACTTCATAGCCTGTGAGAAAACATAGCCTAGCCTGACTCCCACGGTCTGCCCAACTTTGCTTAAAGATTACAGCATTCCACTTGCTTCCCTGGTCACGCAGGAGTAACAGCTTACTTTTATGGCACTTGATAATGATAAAATTAGTGTCGACCCTTATCAGGGTTAGGCCTACAAAAGGGATTCTTCTGTGCACGAGAGCAGGAGGCGCAACTTTCAGATACCGACAGAGCCTTTGATTGTTCAGAAATTGGGACTGTAGCTTTAAAGCCGCTCGAAAGTGACAGGAACTTTGCTTGGAATGAAGGTTTCCAGAATCTGTAAGTGAAAGATAATGAGACCTTTCCTTCCTCCTGAGTTGTCAGGGTTAATTCCATTCTTCACAGGATAAAAATAACTTCTTTTCTGTTTGGAGTTTAGAAGTTAAACTTCACTCATTCTGGCTCTTTTGTGCAGATTATTTTTTTGGGGGGTGGAGGTTATACATAGGTTTTGCACTCCGCAGAATTTCTCGATGCCCAATGATGATTCAGTTAAAAGTAAGTCAATCAGGAGCAATTGTAGTGGCCCATGATTTGCTAATCAGATTTGCAGATAATAATAATTTATATAAACCACAGTTCCTTTTTTTTAAAAAAAAGAGTTACCAGTATGCAGTCTGTTTGGCAAAATTGGTGCATTCTGGTGTGAATACCCTAAGCTTCCTGCTTTTATTTATAGCATTCAATAATTTATAAAAGGTTAAATGTAATCCAGACGGTCGTGTTAGCATTTTCCCTGCTGATATTACGGTGTGGAGGACTGGCAGGCAGGACTTGTTGAAGGTTTGGGAGGGTTCCCAGCTTTCAGAGCCCCGAGAAGCAGCGCCATGTATGGTTAAGTCCATATAAGTATCCACCTGATTGGTTAGACAGTAGAGATACGTGCTGTGACAGGTGTTGGGGAAAGTGACACATCTTTCCTCTGTATGCCCTGATTTGGGGGGGGGGGGGGGGGCCTGGGGGGTTTGGGGGGGGGAGGCACTGAGTGTCTGTGTGAGAGAGAGACGCCATGCCAAGTAACCTGAGAAGGAATTATATCTTGTTAATGATTCCTTGTCTTCTTTAAGCCATCTGATTGGTATGCTTTAGCCAGTTAGGAAAGAAAATGAGCCAAGTACTGTTTACTTTGGAGTAAGTTGCAAGTATTGCGACTTCTTACATTTTTCAGTGTTTGAAGTTGCATTGGAAATGCAGCTTCCATAGCGAGTCTTGCCCATTCCCTCAAAAATAAACGACATTGCAGATAAATATGTAGTACTTGAGATTCTATTTGTTGCTGTATATTTTTTTTAAAATCTAGTGTCAACAGGTTTTTTAAAAAATTGGAAACTTTTTGAAGTTGTTTTAGAAACATCATTAGTAGGAGCATCTCTTAACAGCCAAGAAATTACACATCATAATGGAACGAAATGGGCTCTTGAAATTTGTATGTGCGCAACCTGTCTGTGGTGGTTATAAAGAAGCGGCTGTCTTTCCCACCTCCTCCCAAAACAGATTGATACGGCTTTTCATTTTCTGGATGGGTGGGGAGCAGATGTGCTTCTTCCCTATACATTCCAGGTGCCCTTGTGTTACCAGCTAAATAGGTTTATAGCTAGAAGAGGCTTGCCAGATTTACATAAAAGCAAGGGGGGGAAATGCTTTGTGATGAATGCTGTTGAATGTTGGAAAGGTTAAAGAGCTGCAGTTCTCAGGGCAGTCAACTTTAAGCACTGTTTAAATCAGTGGCTTTTAAACTTCAGATCTCCAGGAACCTCTTTCTATATTGGTTTGTTCAGAGGATGCTCCTTGAAGGCAGTCCTAGTACCTCACCTAGGACATGGATGAGTCTTGACCAGTCTGTTTTTTTTCTTTGCCCTCATACTTGGAATAAAGAGTCAGACACAGAAAGTGGGATAAACTATGGGCCACTTTATTAAATTCATAGTTGAGAACAACGGCAAGGGCAAATATGTGAAGCGGCACGATCCGGGCCAGGGGTCAGCGTTGACCCTTCCCCAGTCGTAGGACGCAGAGCCACCCACCCCCAGCTTGAGCCAACCTGTGTGGCTCCCCACTGGCGGGCACAACGAAAGACATGCCCTGGAGATCCAGCCCCAAGTCGTAGAACTTAAGCAGCCGATCGATCCATGCAGTCCCCAAGGGTAGTTTGCCGTATTTTCCCCGGGTCGCTCAACCCAAAGGCTAATCTGGCCAAACTCCTATCGCCTGAAGTAATTAATTGGTGCTTGCGTTAGCCGCATCTCAGTTATCAGTCCCAATCCTGCTAACTAAAGTGACCAACCTAATGACTGGCACCACCCCGAGCCAATTCCACAATCCGCTGATAAGCGGATCCATGAAGACATGCTTTAAATTTACAAAGCCAGAATGCCTTCTTGAGCTTAGACGGCACATTTTTTGTCTCTTAAAAAATTGCCTTTTCTATCTCTGAATTGCGCTTGCCAACCTGGGAGGTCTTTCTGTCTAACGTTTCCCACCCATGGCGAAAAGCAGCTTGGCCGTTTTTTTTGCCCCGGGGGGGGGGGGGGGGGTTAAGCCGCCTCTTTCCACCTCCCCTTCCATCCCGCAGCCCACTCACACTGATTACAGTTCAAACTAAATGACAGAGGGAATAAAAGGAAACAGTGTAGTGTGTAGTTTGCCTGAGTATTTCAGGATTTGGCCACCCTATGTTAAGCAATCCTGAGTATGCACTGTTGCTTAGGAGAAGTAAGAGATGCCTCACTGGGGCCGAATGAGGTCCACATAGTTCAGTATCGTTTGCAAGAATTCCAGCAATCAGGTGGTCCGGTAGTTAAGGGCCCCTAGACTTGTCTCAGCCTCCGGGCATCCTTGGGATTCTGACACAGGTTGGTGGCCACAGGCAACGCTCCCTCTAAGCTGTGGAGTCTTGTGAGCGAAAATTCTACTTTGTGAGCTATGGGCACGAAGTTGTGAGCGAGCGATTTGGCTGCTGCATAGATTAGCTTGCTCCGGAGCCATCCCTTCCTGAGCTAAGAGAAAAACGTGTGAGCCGGAGGCTAAGAAACTGTGAGCTGGCTCACACTGACTCAGTTTAGAGGGAACACTGGCCACAGCCACAAAATAGCTGCCATGCGAGGTGGAGCCACACGCACAGAGGAAGCCCAAGTTCAGAGAAGAAGAGCAGTAATTTTTAAAAGTGCACTGTGAAAGAGGAGCGAGAGAGAACAGAACCAACACTGGTGGCAGCTGCTGCTGAAACAAGGTTATTTCAATCTGCCCAGCCATGTGGACCTTCAGCGGCCAGTCAGAAGCCCCATCGGGCCCCTACCGGGCCCCATCCATTTTCTAAAACGGCACGGGGAAAGTTGTCGGTGGGCACTGTGTTGGGGACTCTTGCACTTGTTAACTGCAGCTTAATTTCTGCCCCTCCCTTGTTCCATGGTAGAGTCCTGGTTCACACAGGACATTAGTGATGCCTTTAAAAAAAATCCCTCAAACTCACCTACACATATGCATTGTAAAGGAAGATTAGGTAATTTTTCAGGGAAGCTTCTATTTCCTTCTTATCAAGGGTTTGTAGTAAGACCCCGAGAAATACATTGTGGGGATTATCAGAAGTACAAAAAATGTATCAATCAATCAATCGACCTTTAATGGCATATACAACATTAAAATCAGAGACAGTAAATAACATAATCAGCTAAAAGTCTGAGATAATTATAAAATCATAAAACGGAGTTTCCTACGTTTTTCACTCTTATCACATCAACTAAAAAATTGGCCACTGCCACAGTAGTCTCTACTGTTGTATCATTCAATAGAATTTGACATTTTATTTTATTAGGAAGGTGATGTTTACCCTGCAACCAAGTATTTAACCATTTTTCCCTAGCAGATGCGTGCAACGAACAAAAAATGTGTTATGTTAGGGGTGCTGAAGAAGCTATAATGTGTTTGGAAATCGTTGTTTCAGTGGCTCTGGATGTGAATCAGCTTGTTCCTCCTTAATCCAAGTTTGCAATTTAGAATAAATAAATTTAAAAAGTCTCATGGCAAGCTAGTATTGTCTGTGTGTGAATTTTCCAATTGTATTTCAGACGTTAAGAAAGAAAGGCCTCAATGGGTGTGAGAGCCCCGATGCCGACGATTACTTTGAGCACAGTCCGCTGTCGGAGGACAGATTCAGCAAACTAAATGAAGATAGTGATTTTATTTTCAAGCGAGGCCCTGTAAGTACTTTTTTTCCTTGCCCTCCTACTTTTTATTTGTTGATTCTTTTTATTAACTTCATCATTTAGGCTCTGAACAAGAAGGAAAACAGAGGGTGCGACAGCCCAGACCCCGACACTTCCTATGTGCTCACGCCACACACAGAAGAGAAATATAAAAAAATTAATGAGGAGTTTGATAATATGATGCGGAATCATAAAATCGCAGTGAGTACTGTGGTATGGCTTCTGTTTTTTATCCGCATGCATGAGAACCATTTTGCAATCTCCCTAATGCTGAAAGCTGTAGTGAGTATACAACAGCTATACATGCTTATAAAGCAGAAGCGTAGGCATTTTTGACCCAGAAATCATGGATGGGTATAAGAAACTGAACATGCAAATCTGGAGGAGAGATCTCCATCTGCTATATATCCATTAGGGATGTTCAGGGCTTACAGAAAAACCCTTCTATCAGTATTACCTTCCTAAGGAACACTTTTTAAGCAGAGATGTTTCTAGTCCTCTTGAAACTCAGGAAAAGCATGTGTTCAGTGTCTGCTGAGGTCACTAAACTCAGTGCAACCAGCAGACCAAGTGCAAGACTTTTAGAGGCAGGCAAATGTATGCCACATACCCATTTCGTATCCCTCCTCATGGTTCATAGCCCTCCTCTTTGGCTGATTTCTCTTGCCAGTTCTTGTCAATTTCAGGGGGGGTTTTGAAAAGAAAAGAAAAAGTAAATAAGGCACAACCCATAGTACTTCACAAGTGTGGTATGTTCAGAATTTTGGTGTTACCACAGATTTCCTTTGAAGAAGAGACCTGGACAATAAATAGGTATAGGAAGTTTAGATCATCATACAATACAGTCAAATTGTTGTTACATAGCTGAAACTAGTGTATTATTTACAATGATGTGTAAACAAAGAGAATGATTTACAAAATCTGAACGATAGCTAGCTACCCAAATGTTTTTCTTTGTTTTTAGTGTGCTTTTATTCTGCCTTTCTTGCAAGAAGCTTTAAAAACTTTTTAAAAATTGTAACAGTTTTTTAAAAATGGGCTTTAATGATGCAATGAACTTGCAATTTATTTTGTTAATTGTATGATCCTTCAGCTCTTTGGTATTTGCCATTTGGTTTTTAGAGTTTGGGGATGTTTGGAGGCTTTTTGGTCCCAGCAAGGCAATCTGTAGATAATGATGAAACAGTTTCCCACCAAGAAACTCTTGGCAAGTACTAGGAACCTTTAACGGAGTTCTTACAAAACTAGTTTCCTGGCTTTGTCGGGAGTAGCTATGACAAATTGGTACAACGAGAATTAAGATAATGCCATCGTCTACTTCCACTCCCTTCATCCTAAAAGTAGCAACCAACATACACCAACATCCAATACTTCAACTCTCAGTGGCACCTGTGCTTGACACAACTGATCCAGTAAGAGATTTCTAGGTGTCTCATTCTGTACAACCAAATCAGCAACACAGGCGTTGATCTATAACTGTTGAAAGGTGTTCTAATTCACGTGCTCGCATTGGAGATGCATTCCATTATGGGGCTTTCTGCCAAGTAGACGAGTTTAGGATTGAAGTGGAAAATAGCTTTGAAGAGTATAATTCTTTTGCAAACGGAAAGAGACTTGCCCTCTGCCAAAGAGAGCTTAACAGTCCATCATTCTGTATCGAAAGTTATTTATTCCTAATTTTTTTCATAATCACATAATTTAAAAAAAATTGTTTGAAAAAAATGAGCTATGGCATATTACTATGCTATAGAATGAATTGCTTTCGTAAGGTGAAATTTTAAAACAATGTTTTGTTGCTCAGTTGCTGATATGATTGTTAAATTGTAACGAAGTTGGCCAGTTATTCTCTACGATTCATTTGGAAGGCCTGTATACATGTTTATCTTTTTTTGTGAAATGCGTATTACCCAAGTTGTATTCCTTCAAATATGCTTTGCAAAGAATTGTGTATGAACTTGCCATCTGTTCTTGCCTAAAATATATTTAATACAGTAATTTTAATATATGAATAGTTAACATATCCTAGTGCAAGTTTCTACAAGCTTTTCAAAAACTTTTTAACATGATGGCTATGTAAGTCCAAATAATATATTTACATCCAGTTTGCTTTGGAAGTGAGTACTACCTGATACCACTTTTCTAGGCTTTTTCTTCCCAGTAAGCCCCCGTGTCTAGATGCTTAGTGCATCTTTAAAACATAATGGCTTATCCAGAAGGCATAACTTGCACTTTGTGGGAATAACCCAGGTGGTGTGCTCTTTTTAAACTCTAAATTAACGGGTGAATGCTAGTAACCTTTCATTTTCTGTTCACTTTTTAATACATAAAAGCTAACCTCCATGTGATAAATTTGAAGTAAACGAAGCTCTTGGGCAGTGTTCCCTCTAAGACGTGGAGTCTTGTGAGCAGAAATTCTACTTTGTGTGCTGCTGGCATTCAAGTGGTGAGCGAGCAATTTGGCTACTGCATGAATTAGTTTGCCCTGGAGCCATCCCTTCCTGAGCCGAGACAGAAACGTGTGAGCCGGAGGCTAAAAAACTGTGAGCTGGCTCACACTAACTCAGCCTAGAGGGAACACTGCTCTTGGGTTATTTCTAACCAGTTGGGGAGTGCTTTGTGTGGTTTGTATGTGGCAAATTTAAAGACTCTGCATTTAACTATATTTAAGATGTCTCTTCCATAGGTGAATGTTTCAAATGCTCTTAAGAAAAAGATACAAGCTGGTCTTCTAATTTGTGAAATGTAATACTTGGGGGGAAAATGTAATTCTATAAAATTAGCTGACACCATTTCCCCCTCCCCTTCCTTTCAGCCTGGCTTGCCGCAACAGAACTTCTCAATGTCCGTCACCGTTCCTGTGTCCAGCCCCAACACTCTCACCTACAGCAATCCCGGGAGTTCCCTTGTTTCCCCAGCACTGGCTGCCAGCTCAACCTTGACGGACACCACCTTGCTGAGTCCCCCTCAGGCCACGTTGCATCGAAATGTCTCTCCTGGAGGACCTCAGAGGCCACCGAGCACAGGCAGCGCAAGTAAGAGGGCTGTTCCTCTTCTCCAGGGGTCATTTCGTAGAAAAAGAGGTGCAGGAGCTCATTAGCATAATTCATTAGCATAACTCATTTGCATATGCCACATCCCATGACATCACCGGAAGTGTGTCAGAAGGCAACACCCACTGCTCAGGCTCCACTGGACTGTTTTGGATTGCTAGCTATTGGGGGGGGGGGCGTGCAGTTCTGACCTCACAGAGGAGGGAGAGCTTGTACCTGAATAAAACTTGGTCTTAAAGGCGCCACTGGACTGTTTTGGACCGGGGGGGCTGGGGGGGGGGTCTGCAGCTTACCTAGCTGCTTCTTGCTCCTTGTGGCCCGGGGCTGCTGGGAGCAGGGGTTGGGGCTTGTTGCATGTGCCCACTCCCTGGGCTCTTTACTGCCGGAGCTCCGCTCCTGTGCGTTCCTGCAGGAAATGACCCCTGCTCTTCTCCCATCTTTCTGTGTTTTACTTGGTAAATCAGTTTCAGCAAATCAGGGCTGATGATTCAGTTAAAACAGTGAAAATAAGGTGCATTTCCTCTTTGTTCCTCGACCAGGTGGCATGTTATCCACGGCAGACCTCTCGGTGCCAAATGGAGCTGGTTCTAGTCCAGTGGGTAAGTGGCAGATGGTTTGTTTAAATGTATATTAAAGGGCTTAAACCTTATTGAAGGAAGCCAAGCTGAATAAACTACTCTGGGTTGTCTCAGAGGAGGGCTGTGTTGGTCTGTAGTCAGGGGTCATTTCGTAGAAAAAGAGGTGCAGGAGCTCATTAGCATAACTCATTTGCATATGCCACACACCCTGACATCACTGGAAGTGTGTCCGAAGGCAACACCCCACCGCTCAAGCTCCACTGGACTGTTTTGGATTGCTAGCTATTTGGGGGGGGGGGCATGCAGATCTGTCCTCGCAGAGGAGGGAGAGCTTGTACCTGAATAAAACGTGGTCTTAAAGGTGCCACTGGACTGTTTGGGGCTGGGGGGGGGGGCTCTGCAACTTACCTGGCTGAGGGTTGCTAAGAGTAGGGGGTGGGGCTTGTTGCATGTGCCCGCCCCCTGGGCTCTTTACTGCCAGAGCTCCGCTCCTGTGCGCTCCTGCAGGAAATGACCCCTGTCTGTAGTAGAACAGTTAAATTTGAGTCCTGTAGCACCTTAGAGACCAGCAAGGTATCTGACAAAGGGGATTTTGACTCTCAAACACGCATTCCATCCAAATATAATTGGTCTCTAAGGTGCTACTGGACTCGAATCTATCTAAACTGTCTGTTCAGGATTAAAAATACCAGTTTGAGGGAGTGAGATATGTCCCAAGTATTTGTTCATCTTTCCCATGTGCATCTATACTGCTGTTGGTCCTGGTTTGTCTGAGCATAAATACGTGTAAGTGCTTGAAATACTGGTTTGCCCTGAATCATCCATTTTGACAACTGAAGTTACAGAGAAACTTAAATATCCTGTGCGTCGTTCTTTAGAAACCAAACTGCGCTAGACATCTAAAACACGAAGCATTTTAAATAATTAAGAACTGAAGACTGGTTTACCATTTATATATTGTTGTAAAAATATGTTTTCTAGTGTTGGTTTTCTGTTGATCATACACATACAAGATTGACGCCAGATCTTAGGAATATGTATGTGGGCTAGATAGATTGTGAGCTTGTCAGTGTGTGTTTAAATGATGATTATTTTATAATTCAAGCTGCTGGTTTTCATTAGATGAAGTTTACTGTCTTAAATTGCCGCATATTGTTAAAGGAAATGAGGTGTCTAAGGATTCAGAGGCTGGGGCCATAACTTCATCTCACTCTGTAATTCTGCAGTCAAAGATTTTTGCTGTTACTGGGCTGCAGTATGCATATTACAGAGAGTAGCTGTGTGAGTCTGGTGCAGCTCGCTGGAGAAGTGAGCTGTGACTCACCAAAGCTCGTGTTGTTTGTTAAAGGAAATGAGGTGTCTAAGGATTCAGAGTCTGGGGCCATAACTTCATCTTACACTGTAACTCTGCAGTCAAAGATTTTTGCTGTTACTGGGGTGCAGTATGCATATTACAGAGAGTAGCTGTGTGAGTCTGGTGCAGCTCGCTGGAGAAGTGAGCTGTGACTCACAAAAGCTCGTGTTGGAATAAATGTTGGAATGGGGAGGGGCTGTGGCTCAGTGGAAGAACCTCTGCTTGGCATGCAGAAGGTCCCAGGTTCAATCCCCGACATCTCCAGTTAAAAAAAGGACCCGGTAGTGGGTGATGTGAAAAACCTCACACTCTGGAGAGCCACTGCCAGCCTGTGTAGACAATACAGATCTTGATGGGCTGATGGTCTAATTCCGTACAAGACAGCTTCATATGTGTGTGTGTGTTGTCAGCCTTTAAGGTACCACAGGACCTTTGTTTTACTTTGCAGCATGCTTAGCCTTTTATCCATTATACCGCGAAGAAGAAGCACCAGAATCTGTAGACCCGTTTTTCTTCTCGTTGATCATCCAGGAAGGTGTTTTTCTTGCTTGGGTCAGCATGGCGTCATTTGTGATGCATTTCTGAAGTCGCAGGAAGGCCGCAGGGGAACACCCGCTACTGATACAACTTGGTCACGCCCAGGGCTATTTTTGGGCAGGAACGCACAGGAACGGAGTTCCGGCTGGCTCCCAAGTTGGCCACGCCCAGCAGGAACTCATTAGCACAATAGGCCACACCCAACAGAAGAAACACATTAGGATTGGCTACATTAGGGGTGTGTGGCCTAACATGCAAAGGAGTTCCTGCTACAAAAAAGCCCTGGGTTTGGACAACAAACAAGGTAAACAGAATAACAAGCAAAAGGTGGGTGTGGCTGGATGACCACACTTCTGATAACATGGGGGTGCGGCCTAATGTGCTAATGAGTTGTGCTGTCAGGAGTGTGGCCCAATATGCTAATAAGTTCCTGCTGTTGGGTGTGGCCTATTATGCTAATGAGTTCCTGCTGGGCTTTTTCTAGGAAAAAAACCCTAGTCACGCCTATGGTAATTTTGGGGGGCAGAAGATCAGTTAACTCGGAATGAAGAGCCAGAGTACTTTTCACGGAAAAGATGAAGATGGGTAGTCGTGTTAGTCTGTCTGAAGCAGTATAAGAACATAAGAACATAAGAGACGCCAATGTTGGATCAGGCCAAAGGCCCATCGAGTCCAACACTCTGTGTCACACAGTGGCCAGAAATACCAGTGCCATCAGGAGGTCCACCAGTGGGGCCCGGACATTAGAAGCCCTCGCATATGGTGCGGCTCCCGGCAGGGCGGCTGGGGGAGCGAAATATCATTAGCAATCAAATATCACTGGACAAATAAACATCGTTACCAATATCTGCTTTTACCGCTTCTGATATTATTTTTGGCAGTCTCATTTAATGCTAATAACAAGCAGACTTGCACATTTCCTGGTAAAAACGTGTAATATTTGTCCATGTTTTGCAGCTCTCAAACACCTGTTTATTCTATGTGGCTCTTACGATAAGCAAGTTTGCCCCCCCCCCCCGCTCTATGCCTAAAGGTAAAGGTAAAGGTTTCCTTTGCTCGAAAGCCAGTCGAATCCGACTCTAGGGTTGCGGTGCTCATCTCCGTTTCCAAGCCGAAGAGCCAGCGCTGTCCGAAGATGTTTCCGTGGTCATGTGGCCGGCATGACTAAACACCAAGGCGCACGGAACGCTGTTACCTTCCCACCGAAGTGGTACCTATTTATCTACTTGCAAGTTCTTGCTTTCGAACTGCTAGGTTGGCAGGAGCTGGAACTAGAGACGGGAGCTCACTCCGTCTTGCGGCACCCGGGTCTCAAACTGCTGAACTACCGACCTTCCACAGCCTGCAGTTCAGCGTCTTAACCACTTGAGCCACCGCAGCTCTATGCCTAGAGGAAGGCAAAAAACCTCCAGGACCCCTGGGCCTATCTGGCCTGCTGGAAAATCTCTTCCTGACCCCAAAGTGGCACTCAGCATCACCCTGGGCGTGTAAGAAAGGGCCACGGGAAAAGAGAGTAAGTGTCCAGTAGCACCTTTAAAGACTAACAAAATTTGTGACCGGGGGGGAGGGAGCTTTCATGAGTCACTGCTCACTGAAGAAGTGAGCAGTGACTCCTGAAAGCTCATATCCTACCACAAATGTTGTTAGCCTTTAAGGTGCTACTGGACTCTTGCTCTTTTCTTGGAAAAGAGACCAACCTACTTACTAGTGATGTTGGGAAACTGGGCCCCAACCATAAGTGTACAGTTTAAAGGTCTGGAATGTAGATTGACTCTTGTCTGCATGTGTAAGTTGGCACTACAGCTTGCACCCTGGGGCCACAGCTTGCACCCTGGTGGTTAAAAACAGAATCCCTCCTGATTCTCCAGCATTCTTTAGATAGCTTATCTTTATTGAAGGCTTAGTCCTAGCCATATTGCCTCAATTGAGTTGTAGCTCCATGCACATTTGGGTGCAATAAGTAGAGAGTGCTCAGATACATGCTTTGTAGCCTTGCAGTAACCTTGGCAGTTGTCAGTGTTCTCTGCGTATTGCAGGTCAGAGCTGGGCCTTGTGAAAATTCCTTGGCTTGAGGCAGTTTTAGGAAGCTCGTGGCTGAAGGAAGATTCTTCTGGGGAACTTTCCTCTTTGCCATCTCAGCTCTGCAGAGCTGTTATCTTTAGTAGAAGATGGCAATTCCAGCATCCTTTAAACCAGTGATGACCAACCTGTTTGTTACGGTGACCCACAGACCCAAATTTATGTTGGTATGATGACCTATTGATTTATTGTTGTGTGGATTTTGGACCTTAGGTTTTTGGCAGCCATTGGTTTCATGCATTTAAGTTTGCCTATTTTATAAATTTTACTCGAGGCATCCAAGCAAAAATTCACTTTGATCAGTAAAATGGCGAAAGTCTGCAACCTACTTTCACAGGCTTCTCAGCACTCTATTGGGGCTGGGAAATGCGGCTTTGAGCCCACCAGCAGTGACTTTGTGCCTAGGTCATATTTCTTCGGTGACAGTTTTAAACGTGTGGCTGTAACTCTTTTGCTTGTGAGCCTGCAAGATGAATCCCCCACCCCCTCCAAGAACTCTGAAGGCATTTAAGTGATGCTGTGTAGCTGAACAGCCAGGGCATGGGAATCTTCCAGGTTGCTGTGACTTGCCAATTGCTGATTTGACACCCGGTGGCAGGTGGGAATTAGCTTTTGTCATCCTGGAAATCTAAATTGCAGCCCAACAAATAGCCCGCCAAGCATGTTCTGAAGAAAGATTTGCTAAAATTGGAAGATGAACTGATGACAAACCCACCTGCATTTCTAACAGTACACCGGCATTCTTTTTTTTTGGGGGGGGGGGTTTGTGTGTGTGTGAAACAAGTAATATTTCAGACCTAACTCTTAGCACTTTTCTTGGACGTTACAGCGGCAACATGGGTCTTGCTTCCCTGGGGGTTCATCTCATGGCTCTGCTGTAAAGTTTAAAGACTGGCTAGCAGAGCTAGTCATTAAGAGAGCCAGTGTGGCATAGTGGTTAAGTGCGGGACTAAGGCCTAGGATGGCCTTATGCCATATATATGCAGAGTACATAATGCGAAATGCTGGCCTGGATGAATCACAAGCGGGAATTAAGATTGCTGGGGGAAAG